GAACTCGTATATATATATATATATATATATATATAAAATATGTGTGCATAAATTCATCATACATGCCGACGTATCACACAGGCATGCAGAAGAAAACACCAATAACTACGACTAGAGCGGCCCAGTCAGCGCAGTCTGTGCAGCCGACAGCGGCCATCAGCTGATATCAAAATGTAAACCATAATAAGCGTATAAGCGCACTGACTTGAACATTGAAATGTTTGTATTCAGTTACTTGCGAGTGCCGCCAATAGATGGCATTCGTATGCTATTACGAACGAAGCGCGAAGTTGGCTGAAAATGCTGAAATAACGTTTCAAACCACTTACCTTATCACAAATTAAATTGACACGTAATTCGTATAAAATCAAATGTATAAAATCAAATGTGTTAGTGAATCAAGTTAAGAAACTTAACATCTCTCCCAATTGGAATCTAATCATGCGTTATGCGAAATATCTCGGTTTTCTGAACGTTACTACAGCCTTGATCTATTATTATTACATATTCGGAAATGTAATCGCCGCTGCCGACGATGATTCTAACCGCAATTTTGAACGCATGTACAAATGGAGAAATTTACAAAAAGGCTTCCAAGAGGCGAAAATCTACAAGAAACCGATATTTCTACTAATTCACAAACCGGGTTGTCCGACTTGCGAGAAATTGAAGCCTAAATTCACCAACTCGATCAAAATTCTCAATCTTAGCCAGTAGTAAGTATTTTTTGCGCGGAACGTTACTACGTAAAAATATATATTTCTCTACTTTGTCGAATTGTGACGGAATTTATTTGTACTTGAAAACGTGCGGCACGCACCAAGGTAATTTCCTGTTTCTAGATATGTTATATACAATTACTGTGCATACAATAAACGTGCCGCCGAAGAGGCTTGCATGCAAGATTCATGATTCTAATAATTACTATAGACATGTATATGTATATGTATATGTATATGTATATGTATATGTATCTTGTACATACCTACAAGATATTATTAATTAGCATCGATCTCAGATTAACATAAATGTCCAATCCAATCATACATTGTGTAAGCGAAATATTTTTTTACGAGTTAAAGTAGTACATTCGCGAATTAAAAAGTCAGAAATTAAATTTTCTTGAAATTGAAACGCTTGTGCAATTAATGAGATTAATTTTATATAATATCAATATATAAGATATAAGCAATTAAAAACTGCACTTTTTATACGTGTCACTTATACAAGATTTATAAAAATGTCGCATTTATTTTTGTAAGTTTTAAACTAGCAATGATATATTATCTAATAAAAAAAAAACGAGCGATGAAGGAACATGAAATGGATATTATGGAAAAAATGTCGTTATATTAATGTTTTACCGTTTAGTTTGAAAAACAGAGCCATGAAAAGAAAACAAAAATTTGTCAATGTGTCATGTCAAATCAAAGGAGATTGATAATGATAAGTAAGGATCTGAGCATAAGAATTGTAATTGTCGTAACATTTACTTTATTAGAGATTTAAGTTGTAGACGTAAGAAACACACAAGTTTTGACATATGACATATGATGAAGACACGGCAATAATAGATGAGCGATTTACCTTCAAAAAGTCACTTAGAAAGTTCATTAATCAACCAACGTTCTAGTGGCTAAAAATGATTTAATTCGATTCCTCATATTATTCTGCGGAAAAACATCTACATATATACACTTAATTTTTTTGTATGATCATTAAATAGTTGTAAAAAATTTTTTGTTTAAAAAATTTAAACTTGGAATAAAAATTCCAGAAAAATTCTGTAAGCTTAATTGAATCAAAATGGACATTTTTTATCTCTGAGATTTTTTTATGCAAATCAATAGTTTTTGAGAAAAAAATGTCTAAACTTGAAAAATGACTAGTTTTTTTCTCAGAAACTAATCATCCAATCAGTATGAATAAAAAACAAAAATATTCGGCCAATCTTAAACTATAACAAGAATTTTATTTTGATTTGTACTGTTATTGACAATGAAAACGTGTCCGCGGCGCCTTATAATATAATAACAGTATAGATTAAAATAAAGGTGCGTAACCAAAAAGTTTCTCTCAGTGTATTGGCGGGAATGGGAATTGCGAGTATCATCACTGATACTCGCTGATGGAACTCAACTTTTGAATGATATCGCGAGTGTATTATCATCTTGACATCTAAACTTGACGTTGAAGAATACAATTAGATCAAGCGATAAATATAGGAAGGGAAAATGCACACAAATGAAAGATAACAAAACGCATAAAGATTAGAAGGACACTATATATATAATATTAAATTGGTTATATAAATTTTTTCGTGATGCAGTTTTGTTATGGTGGGTATGAAGAAAGATGAGATTCCCGCACAAGACGAAGCAAAATTTCAACCGGACGGAACTTACGTTCCAAGGATTCTCTTCTTCACTCCGGATGGCGAATTTATGAAAGATGTTTATAATCATCATCAAAAAGCCGATGATAAATATAAATATTTCTACAATAGTACAAGCCAAATAATAGATAGTATGATTTTGGCATTGGCACATGTTCCGAAGAACGATATTCTTGATGATAAACAGAGATGAAGAAGTAATACTCAATTTTTCAATCTGATTTTGCTGCTGCCATTACAATGATAGTTAGACGTAGCTGAAATAAATTTATCTTGTTACAAAAAATATAACACTTTCTTAAATTATAGTCATAGATGATATATTAGAATTGAACGG